GGAGGAGGAGGAGGAGGAGGTGGAGGAGGAGGAGGAGGAAGAGGAGGAAGAGGAGGAGGTCTCTGCGTCGACATATATGCGACGAGAACGCGCGTCTCCTGACTCAGTGCTTGACAAGCTAGCAAGCTCTTAGGATTCATCGAGTTTTACCGGCACGACACGACACGACACGACACGACACAACACGCTTCGTCAGCTGCCTGCCATCACCACGCGAGTTCGCTTCCTCTTCTGTACCGTGTTCTTCTTCGTGGACGATGTGTCTCTTCCTTCTGGCTCGCTCTTTTTCATCGCCGTGCCTTTAGCGTCAACCGATTCTATCGATCGACCGGAAGATATCGCGAATCGTCCTTTGATACCTCGATACCTCGATACCACGAAATATTAATTCGGATTGTCAGGGAAATGATGGAGACGAGGTAGTATCGTGCAAACGAATACCGGATGTCGGATAGCAGATAAAAGTGAGAAACGGAAAAAAAGTAGCACCTTTGACGTACGCGTATTTAGTGACATGACGCCTAAAATACGTTTAAAAAGATGCACGGTGTATCGGTAAACGGTGTCTCGCTAGCGCGCACATGTCTAGATTAAAATTCGCGCGTGAACCAGAGGTCACTGGGGTTCACCGGATCGCTCCGTTCGAAAAAGGATATGGAAGAAACTCGATGATACGTAACGTACAGTGAACATTGGTCTACAGTGCAATGTGATTTTTTATATGCTCAGTGCTTCTAGTGCGTGACTATGGTAACCGATATTTTCAGTGATCGTTAAGGACGAAGGTATCGGATGGAAGCATCGGAAACGATCGTTGCAAGATTTTCATCCTTATCGTAAACGATCAACGAAAACGTTTGATACGTTCACGGTTTCGTAACCGTTCGATCGCCGTCTATACTTGGAAATTCGAGATCGGAAAGGAAGCGCGTATGAATTTCCTGTGAAACTTACTCGATCGAGATAGAGGAATATCGAAAGACGGGAGTAAGAGAGAAGGAGGAAAGCGGCAAAAATCGAATCGTATAGATTGTAATCTCGATCGCGATCGATATCGTTCTGTACCGGTAACGACGAGTCGAACATACAAACGTAACGACGAATCGCATACTGTCTATGTCAGAAAAATTTCGGTAAAAGCTACTTCACCCTTGATAAGGATTTCGCAAAATCAAAGGGACAACACCGTCGTATAAACAACGGAAGAAGTTCTTTTCACGGAAGCGAATAGCGGAGAAGAAGGAGGAGCTGGAGCAAGAGAAAAAGGAGAAGCGCGAGGAGGAAAGGGACGAAAAGAAGGAAGAGGGGGAGGGGGAGGGGAAGAGAGAGGAGCGCGGGAAAGGCGAGGGGGAGGAGG